GTTACTATTAATTTTTTTTTTATGTTTTAAAACAAAATTAGGACATAAAATGATACCACTTTAATTAATTGTTTGCCTAATACGATTATGTGATGGATATCGGAAAGTAACACATTGCTTATCTTTGTGACGGAAAACTCATTTTTTTTTTGTATATTACAGTTCGGATTAAATAATACTAATTTTTTACGAATATTTTTCCTTTAATGCTTGTTATTTGCAGATTATAGCATGCTCTAAAACTTATTCAAACTAGTTTCAGAATATTTTCAACATTCTGAGATTTTATTTTATACTCTTTTATAATTACAATATTTTTGAATTCAGAGTTTGACAGACAAGCTATTTTAATGTGAATTCTCATATAAAAACTATTATTTTTTTATTTTTAACATTTATATACATTCCCGTGCACAACAAAGTATCACATGGGGCTTAAAGAAATAAGTATGAAACACCTACTGCAAAAGAAAGAAGGAAAAAAAAAGTTAAAGTCATGAAGGATTATAAATATTTACATTAAATTTACAGAACTTTTTGAAGGCACTTCTAGTGGAAATAATTGGGTGAAAACTTGGAGGTCAATTTATATTAAGTCCCGTAATAGCCAGTCTTAGGATCTTTCTTTCTCTGACAAACTTGGAACGCAGAAGGAGCATATGCTTTACAGTTTCCTCTCCACACACAATCACTGGAAGATGACGGCACAAAATTAAATTTGCTCAAATAGCTTTTAAAGTTAACATGACTACGGAGAAATTGGGTTGTTTTGTAATTAGTAGATAAAAATGATGGCATGACAGTCTCATAAATAGATGTAAAATTTTTTTGTGTAAGCTCCTTTTAAGGTATCCGACTACCCTAAAATTGGGAATTTTGCCAAAAATTGACAATTTTTTAAAGATTTTATTTTATATGTCATCTTATTAGCTTTATAAGAATACCAAGTTTATTATTTTTCTTTCCCTAGAACTAAAACTACATGTGTTTTAGTAAAAGCAGATTCCCTTACTTTAAGCAAAATATCATACTTTGAAACGCGTTTTACTCCGTATGTGTTTTTTTCAAAAAGGCTCGATCGGGGCCAAAGCTTTTCTGAAAAAAGTTCTGAAAATAATTGACTGAAACTTTTTGTATATGCTCTGTATAATAGTAGAAGTCTTTTTACCTTCAGATTTATCAATCACTGTGTTTTATTACTTAATATGCAGTCCCTTATGTGAATATATTCAATGTTTCTTTAAGCAAGTTCATATAATAACTAAGATAAAGTGCTCTAAGTTTTGTAAAAATTAAAATATCTCTTATCCTTAAGGTTATTTTAAAAATGAATAACATAGCAACACTTTAAAATTGAAAACTTGTTTCTAAACTTCTGGTGCTGAATGGGCCATGTTTTGATATTTTTTGTAAATTTTTACCCATTTGTTCCCATTTTAGTAATAATAATTTCTTTTTGTTTTCTTAATTTTATCATATTTTTCTTAAAATGTACTAAACAAATATAAAAATCACACAAAAAAAAATCCCCTTATCTCCATTTTTGAAAAAAATTTGTCCCATGTAGTCAGATACCTTAAACAGTTGATTTGAAAGAATTGTTTTTTTTTTAACAAAAATACATGGGAATTCCATCCGTTTTCAATTTGTTTAATCTTAAAATTTCTCACTACAATATTGTCTCTCATAACCACCAATTAATCATTCTGAAAACACGACAATATAAAAAAAATTGTCACCACTATATCAGGATTTTTCAAACATAATTTCCTTTAAAAAATTCTTCCACACCCCTTGTCTTCCGTAGATTTGAAGCATATCTGAGTGAAAGATAGAAAGGCGTATCGCCGTAACCCATTAACCTTTGGCGATTAAGCGACAAGAGCAAGAAAATAATAACAAAAAAATCACCCTCCCTAAAGAAGAAAAAGTTCACCTAATCAATGGCACAAAAACAACACTTACCCCATTCCACCCTTTTACCCACCCCTGCCTCAATAAACGCCGAGCGGATGGCATGATGATGAAGAAGAAAAACAAGCAGTAAGAGAGAGAGGGAGAAAAAAAAGAAGGGGGCACCTGGCTAGCCAATGAAAGTATCGTGGAAGGCTGAAGCGGGATTATTGAAAAGTTAGTGGCAACAGAGATAAGAAACAATGCGTTTTTAGAGTCGGGTTCAGTTGTGTTGGGGTCTACTTACTTCTTTTGTTCCTGGCACTGAAAAAAAAAAGAATAAAAAGTAGAAGAAGAGGCATAAAAGGGGGAGGGGGGTAAGGATCGATATTGCAATGGGATTTTGATCGCTTGTCTGACTCAAGTTGGTTGATCTATTGAATCGATCATCACTATTCATCTGAATGCTTCCTATGCACCTGCTGTAGATCATTTTGTTTTTGGTGTCTTAGATACGATTATGATAGGGGTAGGTTGCTTAATAGACAGTTACTTTTTTACCACATTTGGTCTTAACCCGGTTTAAAATGGTAATAGCATAGCCCTGTGTTTCCCAAACTCTTGACATATGTGTACCCCTACTATGGTTTCTATTACCCTGAGTACCCCTCATCAAAAAAATTATTTTAATTTGTAATTTTGTTGTTAAATTAATTGTTGTTTAATTTGTAAATTGTAATTTGTTGTTAAAAATTTTAACAACAATCAAAATATATTTCATTTTTCTTTTTTGTGACACACATAAAATAATAAGAAAAGAGAAATAAAATGAGCCACACACAAACACATGCATAATAAAATGCAAAGAAAAGTTATATTATAAATAACATTTATTTGGATTAAAGAGTATGATGAAACTCTTAAGCTAAGATCTGTCATCTTAATGCTAAGATGACAGATCGTCATAATTTGGTTCCCTGGTTGTTAATTTTAAACTGAGATGTGGTTCCATGTCCGTTGGTCTATTCCTTTTTTGACTTAAGATAAGTTCGGTACAGGGTGTATCCTCACTTAACTCTGTTGCAACGCGTACCCCAAACTCTTCCGGTACCCCTGGGGGTACGCGTACTACACTTTAAGAAACATTGGTATAGACAATGACGACCAAATAGGCCGTGGGAACTTTATCGAAACCAGACATCACCCCTTTGCTGTATCATATATCTTTTTGCATGAAATTTATTTAGAATTTAATAGAAAAAAAGGGGGAAATTTTCACATTAAAATATAACGACTTAAAGGATTTAAAATTTCTCGTGCTTTTACTTTAATTTACATGCGTTTAAAATACGGAATTTTCAACATTCACTTTGAGCACTGATACATAAACGTATTACTACATGTAATATTGTTTTCTGAAATTTTATCCTTTTTAAGTATATGTCTTTTAGATATTTCTTAAGATCATTTTTAAAATAGAAAAAAGCTTTTGTGAAATATTTATCCAAATTACTTTTAAAGCGTTTTTGAGATTTTGAGAGCAAACCATTTTAAGCTGAAAGTAATTTTATCGAAGATAATTTATTAATGTGTGACTTATATGAATTTGAAGATGAATTTAGTACAATAAAAACAATAAGATAAAGCCGGTTTGGGGGTGTAGTTGGTTTAGAGCTGGCTTGTAAGCAAAGTCGGTGGATTTTCATGATGCAGAAATCGACAGCGTTCATGTCACATGATTATGCGGCATGTAAAAGATCCCTCGAGTGCCTCTTTGGCTTGGTGCTCTCGGAAAAATTAAATTCTTAGTACGATTTCGCACCGTTAGAGCTCAAGTACATCCCTCTGGGGGGGGGGACTGGGCATCAAAATTACTTGAAGCGATTAGCATACCACCTACATGATGCTCACTAAAAAGAGTTACCAGCTCCCAAGAAATGTACTAGGTCTCAAAATGGTAAAATAACAATCTGCAGACCCATTAGAAATAAAAAAAAGATGCTTAACAATTTATAAATAGAAATACCTCCAAAATATTAAAATCATGAAAAAAAAATATAAATATTTCTAAAAAGAAGACGACAATATGCAAATTACCAAGATCAACGGCTGTATTCCATATCTATAAGCCACTAAGCTTTTGATTATTTTGTTTTTATCTGGAAAACATCTAAATTTACAGGTCATATTAAACACACAGCAATGTAAAATATATTGATTCGTATACACATTTCATAGTATATAATGCAATAGGCAACTGAAAACAGAATTAAATCTTCGCTATATTCGCGTGTTATTTCGAGATTAGTCTAAGAGATAAGGTATATATTTGTTCTAAATTTTTTAGTCTTTTTGGCCTCACTTTTCATATCAGTTTTAACCGCGCCCCGACTTTCGGATGATTTGTAGAATTTTAATACTTTGCCTACATTGCCTTTGCTTTTTATTGTAATAGCTGAACTAAAATTCACACACAAACAAAGAAATAGACCTCGTATCTTGCAACATTGTTGCCCCGCCTTACTTCTCACGATTTTAACTAGGCGCATAAAAGTCATTAAACAACTGTGTCACGACAAATTAATAGTAATGGTCGCGTCTATAAAGATTAGTGATGGTCACATATTAATAACCTTTTTTTGTGCTTCTATTGTGGGGAAGATTCTTTTTGTAGAACGATGGTGGCATTTGGATGTTAAACGGAATTTTGTCTCGAAGTCCTCATGTGCTGTAAAACATAGGAGGATGAGGTATCAACTCAAGGGTTCCCCGAGTTGATCTAGTACGATATGAGATAAATTATAATTCTCAATATCAAATAATTGGAGAAATTTTGGATAATTTAAATGCAGGTATTTTTCTATTAGTGTGTTCATGTAACTTCAGAATGATATTTGATATTTTTATAGATGGAAAACAAATTTTTTATTTCTATTTTTGTTTATTTCCGAGTTTGTTTAATGTCTTCGCCTAATTTTTCAAAGTCCTTTTAAGTAGATGTATCTCAAGAGTTTTGAATCATTTGCCGTATTTTGAATCGCGGTCGTATTATTGAACTACATATAGTTTAAGTTCTGATCAATATTTTAAAGATTAGTACTTTTTGAGCCGTCCAGCCAGTATGGTGGCTAGGACCCTCGGCTTGGGACAGAGTGGGCTCGGGTTCAAATCCCGAATAAGGCATGGGTGTATCATCTTCGGGAAAAGAAGTCGGACTTTCGTCTGAAATGGATTCCCGTCTCGAATGGAAAGCAGCGCACCCCTTCTGTTCTATGCTGGGATCATGGTTTGTAATAAAATGCCTATATTCTTCTGTTTGTATTGTATGTGTCTGTTCTTCTACTCGTCTTTCATATGTATCCCAGGATAAAAAACACACAACAACAGTACTTCATGGTATCTTCTAGAACATTGGTTCCCAACCTTTTTTGAACTAGTCCCCCCTTTTCTCTAGTGAAAATTTCGAAATTGCCCCCTCCCACTCTAAAGAAATAAGAGCATACATAATACATTTTGAAAATAAGAGTTTAATTTTAAAAAAAATATTCTATTACTAATAGAAATATTTTTTAATTTAATTTTTTTCTAAAGCCGCAATTTTTTCCCTCGCGATTCTGAAATAGCTATTGCCAAAAATATACCTAAATGTATTATATATTTTAGTCATAGATAAGACATTGTTGGAATTGGAACACGCGCGCGCGCTACTGAATTTCTTCTTCATTTAAAAGAGTGGAATAAAAGTTTTAGCTTACCTGTTATAAAGACAGGCATCGGTTTTGATGATACGAAGTAATTCATAATAAATTATTGCTTTCAAAATAAATATAAATTGACAGTTTCAGCCTTTAAAGAATCACACGTTAATTCCTGGTTCACATATTTAATTATGTTTCTTGGATAATATACGAAATGAAATGCAGTGGACGAAATATTTTTCCTACTGTTCACAGACAAAGACAACACGTGTACTACAGAAATTAAAATGTACTGTTTCATTCAGTTTCATGCAGGTCTGAAGAATGTAATCTTTAAGTTTTTCATTCACTTCCCGAACTACCGAAATATGGGAATTTTCGTACATGTGACATGTTGATTTTGTATTTAAATCATTTCTATAAGGTAAACAGTATTAAAGTCTACTTTTGGTAGTACATAATCAGCGCGTTTTTTTAGTCTTTTTGAGACTATATTTGGTTAATCTGCCCAAGCCCCTCCGTGCCATCTCAACGCCCAGTAATTTTCTCTGGGTGCTTTACTGTCCTCCTGAAAGCCTCAAACGCCCACAAGGGGGCGTTATCGTTTACGTTGAGAACCTATGTTCTAGACCTTTTAGCATATTAAAATCCGTATTCCAAGATATATTTAAAGTTACATTTTATTTAAAGATTTTATTTAATGTTTTTTAGTTACTAAACTTAATTATGTTATCACACAGAGTGGATTCTTTATACGTATACAAATATTTACTTCTAATTATTATTCCATACAAAATATTCGTATTTTATACCAGCGTAAGAATTGTACTTATCACTAAGCCCAACCAGTATGTTTTAAAATCTTGAACTGTGCAATTCTGTTATTTCTTACTGAACTGACTTTTATTTCTCGGAATTCTGTATCTAAATAAAAAACAAGAATATATTTTGTGTCGAAATGGATTTAAGGCACATCAGTCTCCAAAAATAAGCCTTTGTTTAAAATCTAGATCATTTTCTAACAATACTCCATATAATAGGATGTGATACGCATGATTAAAAAATTATTGCTTAATATTTAACTTTAATTCTTGAATTGCTGCAGTTTATATAAATAAATATATATTTTATTGCATGAAAAATATTTAAAAAAAACTTAATTATGTTCAACTGAAACAAGAAATAAAATTTCCGTTTCAGTATATTTTTCAGTTCCTTTATTTATTCGATAACAAAAACAACGTAACATTAAAATATGTAAGGTATGAAATATATAAAATAGTTAAAGTTTGATATAAACGAATTTGTGAATGAAAACATAAAAAATACCACTAAAATACACGCTGATTTGTATTTGGAAATAAATTAATCTTTTGTATTAATAGGAAGAAAAGGAGAGAACGGAGAATAATGTTAAAAAGATATAAGAATATCACATCAGAAAAAAAAGTACTTTGGAAATTTCACTACTTATTTAAATCCTCAATTTTTCCCTATTTTTAGCAAAAAAATAGAAACTAATGCTGATTCATTTTATATGCATTTGTAATTCCAGTCGAGAAATTTCTTTCACCTTCACACATTTCTCAGCTGTGATGGAACATAACTGTATTTTATAAATGTGTGGGTAGTTATATTAAATTTAAATTTACAACTAATAATTTCGTACGAATAAGGATTTTTTATCTCCCAATAAATGTTTGAAGCTATTAATAAAATAAATCTATTTAAACGTGCATACTGTGTAATTTTTTTTATTCCAACTGTAGTTTAATTAAACCCCCTCCTAGTAGTTTTCCTAATTTACCAGCTTATATATACACAAATATCAAAGAGTGCTTCTGTTAATGACTCACTATAAAGCAAAACGAAAGCTATTGGAGACGGAACTCGCAATTTCAAGAGACAAAGAAGGTAGCTGAGGTGGCACACTTTCCCCGAACTTCCATCCCACGCAAAAACGAGAGGACTTTGAGTTGACGGATTTAACGAGCATCAGCCCCACAATACAAAGGGTCTTCAATGGAACTATACTTGAACTAATGACCCCCACACACGCACACACACATTCAGAGCTAAATTAAATTTCTGCTAGATAAAATATTACTTAAATGTGTAATCTATCCAGCGTATTTTCTGGATATGATATTAGATCCCAATACATTTAAATCTCAAGAAGCTTTTGCTTATATTGTACTTCAAATAAACCCGAAAACCGAGTAAAAATATTAAATCAAAGCTTCTCAAATCGGTTTTCTTCCCGCAACTGAAAACAACGACTCAAAGGAATAACTCCCATGTCTTTGCATAACTCCATGTTCAATTTTATAGAAATTCCTGGGATCTGGCGTTACATCAAGTCTACGTGGAACTTGTTTGTTTCTTTAAAAGAATCATTCGTCATCGTCTCTTTGTGTATTCACAGTTTTTACACAGGAGCCCATATTTCCTCTATACTTGTCTACAGCAGGGGATATGATTCATCATTTGTCTATTCGCTCCAAACTGGGTCAGCAGGAGTCTTTGATTTCTGTTAGGATTGTTTTCTTTCTTTCCTGTACACAACCAAGGTAGCAAGTTTCATTTTTCTGTTTTGTTTTGTTCTGAGTTCTGTGAAGAAAGATATGAAACCATTTCTATAGTTTTTGGGTTATAATTTAGTTTGTATAAAATTGAGTGAACTTAAAAACGAGTATATTAATCGACTGGTTAGGAGTTGTTTTTTTTTCCTCATGATATACGATTTTGCTATAAAAGGGTCTTCTATTCTCTTTTTCGGTTTTTGAGTTCAATTTCTTCTTTCAGCACACGTTTGGCATTTTAACCCAATTAGCTCACAAGAAAATAAAAATTTTTTTTACTGGATGATGTCTTTTATTAAATTATTTTATATTCTAAATGTTGCAAACATTAGCACAGCATAAAGGAGTAAGCGAAATGCTAGGGCTAGTTCTCAGAAAGATGAATTAGTACATTGTTTTTGAGTACTATCTGTAACGTTTGGTTTTTAAGAGATCGCACTCCCCCCCCCCCTAGATAATTCGATCAAGTTTGATCAATTTGCAACAAAACTAATGCATACAATTTTAACATATCTTAATTCGAAAAAAAAGCACTAAAAATTTCTTTTTGATCAAAACGCAATACAGGACAAGAGAAACACCAATTATATTCATCATATTGATATGTTTTTTTTTCAGCGCGATATTAACGGTTTTTTCAACGTAACTTTTCAAATAAGTAACAAAATTTTTGAAAAGCATAAGTAAAGCGATCAAAACATCGCTATATGTATGTGTAGATTTAAGTCAAGCTATTTAGTTTAACTTCACGAAATGAAATTTGTGCAATACGTGAGTGGGGTGGTTGGCTACGGACTTCGTAATTTAAAACATAATTAAAATTTGCAATTCCCCGAAACTTCTAAACTTACTTCCTTACTTATAAAATCTTTCACTCCCCAAACCGTACGATACTCAAATCTCCGTTGATTTAATAATTTCTCTATTTTACATTACACGAAATTATTTTTTAAAAAAATTTACGTCGTATTCTGAAGAAACACAAGGGTATTGGTGACGGATTTCGGAATTTTGAGGCATGTACAAGTGAAAAGGAAGATACGTGAACTGTGGTACCTCCTTTTCTAAATTTCCATACCTTGCCAACAAGATAGAGCTTCGACAGCGCTCTACACTGTGGTTCTAGATATTATACGAAGAGTCTGGTTGAGTCTAAAATTGAGTTATTATGATTTTTTTTATTGTCAACCAAGACGTGATATCTCACAAATTCAAAGGTTAAAAGCAATTTTTTGATGGACAATAAATAATATACATCAATATAACCTAAATTGATGAACTTTTAAAATTTGGTTTTTCTTTTGTTGAGTGAAAAAGTCCGACAACAGTTTTTAAAATAGATATTTCAATTTTTACTATTAGCTCACTCTCTCCCCATATATATATATATATATATATATATAATATATATATATAATATATATATATATATATATGTGTGTGTGTGTGTGTGTGTGTGTATAGTGTAATAAAATAAAATAAAATAAAAAGTGAGACAGTTATAATAACTATATACATATCTTGTTCAGCTTTTCAATCGTTAATAAAATACTTTCTATTCATCCAATCAAGTTCAAATAATTTTTTTTAAACTTGTAGTCGATGACACTTGAAGTTAATGCAGTTTTCTCAAGTACTATTTAATTAATTATCGGTTAATTATGTAAATCAATTACCAGTCTTAGATTCATCTCCATTGTTGTAACAATGCAACTGTTAAAGCAATGACAAAAACTGGCGTCGAAAACTGGTTCTTCAGCCAAACTAGCCAAACCGGGATTGCATTGCTACAGCAATGCAGACAAATCATGCTCTCTTTTTAATTCCTACTATTAGCTCACTCTCTCCCTATATATATCTTCTTCAAATTCTCAATCGTAATAAAATATTTTCTATTCTTCCA